GGGCAACTAAAATGATGAGGGGTTTGGAACAGGTCCCATATGAGGAGAGGTTAAAGCAACTGGGACTTTTCAGTTTAGAAAAGAAGAGACTGAGGGGGGATATGATAGAGGTCTATAAAATCATGAGTGGTGTGGAGAGGGTGAATAAAGAAAAGTTATTTATTAGTTCCCATAATAGAAGAACTAGAGGACACCAAATGAAATTAATGGGTAGCAGGTTTAAGTGTAGTCAACCTGTGGAACTCCTTGCCAGAGGAGGCTGTGAAGGCTAGGACTATAACAGAGTTTAAAGAGAAGCTAGATAATTTCATGGAGGTTAGGTCCATAAAAGGCTATTAGCCAGGGGATAAAATGGTGTCCTTGGCCTCAGTTTGTCAGAGGCTGGAGAGGGATGGCAGGAGACAAATCGCTCAATCATTGTCTTCGGTCCACCCTCTCTGGGGCACCTGGTGCTGGCCACTGTCGGCAGACAGGATGCTGGGCTAGATGGACCTTTGGTCTGACCCAGTACGGCCGTTCTTATGTTCTTATGTCACTCTTACTGCCTTTCGTGCCAAAGAACTGCCACTTAGCAGGTGCTGGCCCATTGTTGCCTCAGTCAGGGGTACACCAAGCCTGATTGCTGTTAGTGGTGGACGAACTGGCCTGGCCACTCCCCAGGCTTGGAACATGGACACCGGACAAGAGAGCCTTAAACTTGACATGGTGTTGCTACACAAGTGATACCAGGACAATAATGATCAGCAAATTATGACTTTTCAAGTGCTGCCACCCAAGGCTTTGTACAAAGATCTGTGTGGGAGGGGCTCAGTGTCTCAGCCCTGTGAAACTTATTGTCGGCGGGGGGGTTTGCTCAGAGAAGGGTGACCGTACTTTGTTTCCTGGCATAAGATGATTGCCGGAAAGTCAGACAGGAAGTGACTTTCGCCCCCTGTGCTCTCCCAATGCTGCATTTCAAGCTTTGCCTTCCTCTGGAGCATGAAGTCCTTGTGCTGCTGTGGATAGAACTAGCGTCTCTGTGCAGCAGCCTGGGGAACCCTGGATACAGGTGACCTGGGCGTCCGAGGCCACAACAGGCCCTGAGACAGAACTTCCCTCCCTGGTGGCTTGAGGGGAGTTACAGGAGTGGATGGGAGGGAAGCAGCTGTCCCTTGGTCCATCCCAGGACACTGAGGAGGATGCATCTGGGCCCAGATCCTACCCGTGATCAGCTTCCACCTGACCCTGCCCTGCCCTGCCCTGCTCCTGTCCCCCCAGAAGGAGCCGGGCACAAAGGCAGCCTTGTTTGGAAGCCGGTGCAGGGGCTGTGCCAGCTGCTGGCCTAGCCCTGGCTAAACAGCCAGAGATCAAAGCTCCTAGCTGCGCGCCCCCCCCACCCTTGGAACATACTTAAGCTGTTTGCACAAGAGGCGGAGACACTTTTGGGGGCTAAGCACCACTCCAGTCCTCGGCGTGTCCTGTGCCAGCGCCGGGTGCTTGGGCAGTGGGCGGGGCGTGGAAAATTCCTTTGTTTGCCTGAAGCTTTGACAGGTCGGGGGGGGGGGGGGGGGGGGGGGATGTTCCCTGTTCCAGAGGGGCAATCCAAGCACCTGGCCATGCCGGGCGTAAAATCACAGCTCCTCTCTCGCTCGGCTGGAGGGTTTCCCTCCACAAATGGGGAAGTGGTTGGAATGAAGAGTAGAGAGAGAATCTTGCAAGACTAGTTGAAGGGCTGAGCTGCAATCCAAGTACTGATCTTGCTCCCACACTCCTCCCTTCTGCTTTCCGGAGCTCCTCACTTTGTTCTTGTCCACACCTGTAATGGCAACATGTAATGACATCTGCTTGATGCAATGCTAAGGTTGCAAAACCTAAAGCTCCGCTGTCTGGAAATTCCACAAGCTGAAGGGACACCCTCTTGAGAGCGCCTCCGTTCCAGCGCAATGGGTGAAAAGTACCCTGGCTTCCCGTTTTGAGTTGCACAAGCTCTCGGTCCTGTTATAACAAATCTCTTTGTTGTGTGACAAATCGGAGGGGGTTGTGTTAATTTGTACCTGCAAAAAGCAGCGAGGAGGCTTGTGGCACTTCAAAGACAAACCCATTAATTTGGGCATCAGCATTCGTGGGTCAAAACCCCTTGGTCAGACACACGGAGTGAAATGCCACCGATGACGTGGTCTTCGCTCACGAACGCTGCTGCCCGGATAACTCTCTTCAGCTTTGAGGTGCCACGGGCCGCCGCCTCAGTTTTGCTGTCCCTTGTCACCACGTCCCCTGTTCCTATTGGCTAGCTGCAAGTTGCTAAACACACAACATAGACTTCTTACCCCTCATCCATTCCGTTCCAGGGAATCGTAGGATTTGCCTGAAACAATAGCGGGGAAAGCACTTTGAAGGGAGGTTTTGTGGTGGGTTTTCTGATGACGTTGTCCCTTTATGGCTTTCTTTGCTATTTTAGTTCAGTCTCCCTCAGGGTCACTCGCCTGGTACCCACCACTGCCTTACCATAATCTTCCCTGGAGTGGTGTTTGTGTGGGATGCCTCGCCTATAAGGACATGCTCTGCATTCCTGGGACGTGCAGTGTGGTACAGGGTGTATTCAGCATCTTCCATAATTATCCACAATTAGATCTTGTTTTGGAGAGTCTTGTTTGGAGACTTTTAAATGGCGACCTCTCTTTGGTGCATGCGATTACTAGATGAGGTGTAATTGTAGGTCACTCAGATGTCTAAGTCTCTGATAGCACCAGCTAAGATGTCTTCAGATCTGAATCATGCTATGGTTTGACCTTCCTCTGGACTCTTTCATTTTGGTTACTGTTATAAACAGTGTCCAGGTTTCTTTTTAAAGGGCAGAGCACCTGCAGCCCGGAATGGCTTTAGCTCAGCGGGATCAGAAGTTGCTCAACCCTGCAAACAGGCCGCTAGCGTTTACAACAGATGCCTTTTGTTAGGCGTATAAATCCCAATAAGCATAGTTTCTGTAATGATTTGCTTGTGCAAGTTGTCACAAGGGGGAGATCCGGTTAAGGCCAAGCAACGGATCAGGCTCATCAAAACGTGCCATTAGAGCCCTGGGCAGACACCGAATATGTATCCGCGTCCGCCCGTGATCCCCAAACAGGGACGTTCCTGCGGTAGCCGGATGTGCAGGGTGCTGCTCGACATTCCACCCCACACCTTGGTTGTGGAGCGTGGCCGAGTGAGCGCTGCAGGTTTTTCCTACTCTTCTAGTCTTGGGAAGAGGAGATGGGTGGCGGGGAGGGGAGAGAGGGTTTCTCTCCTTTTTCTGGTTGCTTGCTCTGTGCTCTGGACAGTTCTGTCGGGTCAGTTTCACCGGTGGCTCTGGGTCCCACTGTGAGCTCAGGGCTCTCTGTTTATCTGTCTGTGTGAGCCTGCTGCTGCCTCCGCGCGTCCCCGGCAAACACGCTGCTGCTGTGTCTGTTTCCAGGTGACCTGGCTCCGTGGGCGGCTAACAGCTTACCCCACCTGGGCACTTTCAAATGTTCCAGGCTGTTCCCGGCCATTCTCCCCCACCCCGGACGCCAGGCGCCTTCGTGCCTCCCTTCCCAATCCCGGCCATGCGCGTGCTGCTCCCGAAGCCCTGCGGAGGCACCAGAGTTGTCCTCTGCCGCCGGCAGCGCCTGGTTGACTCGCTGGCTCCGTGGGCGGCTAACAGCTTACCCCACCTGGGCACTTTCAAATGTTCCAGGCTGTTCCCGGCCATTCTCCCCCACCCCGGACGCCAGGCGCCTTCGTGCCTCCCTTCCCAATCCCGGCCATGCGCGTGCTGCTCCCGAAGCCCTGCGGAGGCACCAGAGTTGTCCTCTGCCGCCGGCAGCGCCTGGTTGACTCGCTGGGGCTCTGCG